CGAGGGCGGCCTGGAGTTCCCCCATCACCTGCGCGGCCCGCCCGCGGGCGGCGTCCGCGACGGATTCCAACCGCGCCAGCTCCGCCCGCTTCCGGAGGCGCTCCGCGTGCACGACGTTGCAGATCTCCACCAGCAGGGCGGTGTTTTTGTGCGTTTCGAGCAAATCCGCCTCGCGGGCGCGGTAGGATTTTTCAAAATTCGCCTCCGCGATCAGCAGGGCGTCGACGCGGTCGCGCAGGGATTTCGCGCGGCCGGTCATCCCACTCAACCGCTCCTGTTCAACCGCCAGGTACTGCTCCAGCGTGCGAAGCTGACGACGCGCCTGGGTGGTTTGCTGATCGGAAACCCACTCCTGTCGTTTGGCCGCGAATTCGAGCTGCACGGCGTCGGTTTTGAACTTCTCCTGCCGCCGGTGAAGCTCACGCCAGCGCTGTTGGGTTAAATTCAGCCGCGATTCGACCACACTGCACTCGTTACGCTTGCGCTGAATGAGGTCTTGCGCCGCGCGATACTTGGGGGAGGCCGGAAGCAAGCAATTGGAGGGGGTCGCACCCAACGCCGCCCCTGGTGGATTCTCCTTGGCATTCTCATTGAGGTTGAACACTTCCAGCTCCGCGAGCGACAGGCACTCCTGCATGCGCAGGTACTCTAAACGGCCTCGGAGTTTTTCATTTTCTTCCTTCAAATTGTTAAGCTCTTGCTGTTGCTGACGGAGAACGCATTTTTCTTCCTCCTTCATCTGGCTTAAATGGGAATTGGCCTCCGTGATGCGCTGGCGAAGCGAATCGGCCGTCATGTCAGTATGAAGGATTCGAAAACTTGAGACTCTATTTGCACTTGCGGGGGGTTTCGAAACAGATAGCATTTTTAATACGGTTCAAAATGCACCCCCCACTTATAGGCAAAATCATGTATATTATTCACAAATTTTGATAACTATCTCCAAGATGGAGAGATCAAGTACGTTCTAGAAAAAAAATTCTAATAAAAATGGCTAGATGAACCAATGATAAATGTAGGAAATACCAAAGGTCAAACATAGAATGGTTGATTGGCTTAGTCGCATCGACTATGTTCGTTGAATATAGGCGGATATCATAAAGCGATTTTCACGACAGGGGCGCATTATTACCCTTACAAGCTTAGCTTCAGAGAGCGATTGCACGTGAAAAGGACTCTATCCACAACGTTCAAGGGGGAAGTTAAGAGGAGGGGGAGGGTGTGGGTGGGAGAGAAAAGCAAAAATGGAAACGTATGAGTGTGCAAAGTGCGCCTATTATTACCAGAAATATATCATTCTAATTACGTATTCCGGACATAAATTACTCATTATTGTGATTATTAGCAATGTATGTTTGGGGTTCGTGTAATGTTGCTTTCATCGTTACTGTTTTTTCTGCGGATGGAGCAATTCATGAATTTCCTGAAGCTCCAGACGTAGCAACGCGGACTCTCGCTGCTGCGCCTCCAAGCGCGCCATCACACTTCCCAACTGATTCCGTAGCTCCGCGTTATTTGTTTGATAAAAAAGTGCTTCTTTGGTGAGCGACCACAGCTGCTCATCTCGACTTCCCGCGACGCCATTGGCGGGTTGTGAAGAGAAACTAGGGGGGATTCGATTGGAGGGGGGATTGCCTTCCTCGACGGGATTGTCGCACTTCATATTTCCCCGCCTTAGGGAGGTTTCACCCGCCTCAAAATTTTCCAGAGCCCGCGAGGGATCCTTTTGAGGGTTTGTCGGCGGCGCGGAACCGCTCCACCCCTCCCCAGCAGGCTTTTCCACAGAAGGCAGGGCGGTCTGGTTGCTTTCCAGGATCGCCAGACGTTGCCGGAGCTCCCGATTCTCCGCCAACACCCGCTCCATCTCCGCGATTTGGCGGGTAAAAATCACCTGATCGTTGCGCAACTCATCCTCAAAGACGCGCGCGCGATCCTCGGCGGCGCGGAGTTGCTGTTGGAGCGATTCGATCTCACCTTCCTGCTCCAGACAAAACTGCCGATACATCTCCAACTCGGTGTGAACATCCCCCGTTTCGGTCGCGAGGGAAAACCCCACCCCGTCAGGTCCACCTGCCTTTCCGTCGTCGCGCTTCGCCTGTGGGTTTGGCGGCTTCGAACGAAACGGCCGCATCTGCGCGTCGTGCAGCTCGCGATACTGCGGCAAAGGGGTGTTTAACACCCGCACCGCGAGCGCGCAATACTGCAGCGTTCGCAACGTTTCATCCCGATTATTCCCCCCGGGCGCGACGCATCCGAGGAAAAGCGTTTTTCCATTCCCCCCAAGCGCGTTTTGGAGAAGACGGGTGAGTTTGCTACTTCGGTACGGCACGTGGCCGGCGGGATCGCCGCCCCCTTGGTGGCTATTCCGCACCAACGCCCGAATCACATTCCCAAGCGCGAGCAACCCCGAATTGATCGCGATGCTTTCTTTAAACCGCTGCCCGACGTTAAGGGTCTTTTTGTTTCGCTCCGACCCCGCCAGGTCGACGAGGTGGAGTTTGTTGCCCCCATGGTGGTGGTTGTAAATCGTAAAAATGCTGTGGCTGCGGCTGGAGTGCTCGTGGATGTTCGTGGCGGCCGTGGCGCGGAGTTGGGTGCCGTATTGGATGATTTTTTCGATGCCGCTCAGATCCTCCGCAGTCGCGCGTCGGGCGCCGATCACCACGCAATCCCTTCCCATCTCGCTCGGACCCCCGCCATCAAAGAGCTGGATTTCATTCCCATCATTCACAGGATCCTCCGTTAGTAAATCCCGCAAGACGTCGCCGTAGACCTCGATAAATTGAAAACTCAGCTCCCGAGTCGCGCCATGAAAGCCTTTCTCGACAATATAACGCAGAATCAACGGCATCAACCCCGACATGGTGAAGGTTTTCCCCGTTCCCGTCTGCCCATACGCCAATACGGTGGCGTGGAAGCCGTTGAGGAAGTCATCCACGATCTTCCGTACGGTGTCGTCAAAGATATCCAACGTGGAATCCTCCATGCCGTAGACGCGATCCACCGCGAAAACGCGATTTCCCCCCACGCTAACGTGGGTTGGATTAACCGTAACGATCGCGAGGTCGGCATCGTCCGGATCGCTTTCGATAAAAGGTCGTACCCGCACCACCACGCGAACGCGTTCACTCATTTATCCTTTACAGGCGTTTAATTTGAGTTGTTTGAGGTTCGGAAGTGTTTTCTTTTTTGTTTTCCTCCACTACTTTTTTTTTGTCTATGGGTTTCTATATTATGATTTATTCGTAAATTTGGTGTTAGTGCAATTCTACAACGATGAGTTTTATATCGTCACTCCCATACCTATTCATCCAGCTACGGAAATTCCTAAATTGAAGTTGATGCAAGCGTATTCTACGAAAGCAAGCGGGGGGAAGGGTTTCACAATAATCTAAAGGCTACCCTTCACCCTTCCTAAAAAAAGAAGTAAATAAGAATAATCAAATGAATTGATGTCCACGCAAAGAGAAAGACGAAAGTGAAGAAAAAGGAGAAGAAGAATTGCAGAAGTTACAGAAAAACTTATCCTCAGTTCCCACACCTAGCACCTTGGGAAGTGCTTTAAGAAAAAAGAAAGGGGCAATCCTTTATGACAAAAAAGGAGCCCTTTCGGTTTCATTTTTTACTTTAAAAAAAAACAATTACCAGGTTAATCGTATATTAGTACATTCCATTCGCGGCCTTAGCTCATGCATCCTCGGCATCGTGGTCGTTGTTGTTCTCGTTAGTGCGTAAGAAAGGGCGTATCCTTGCATTTCGGCGGGCGAGGCGTCGGCTTCACTATCCGCACCTTCCCCTCCACATCGTCCGCGGTGGGGTTGAGCTCGTGCTTCACGCAACGCTGCATCAACCGCAGCAGGAGTGGGGATCGCAGCGATGGCGTGTCTTTTTCCGCTTCGTCGTCGTCCTCTTCCTTTCGATTTTTTTTTCGCCCTGCCTGGCCCTCCTCTCGTTCTTCGGAGCCTCGTTTGCGGCGCGCCGCGTGGCCTAAAATCTCGCGATGGCTAGTTTCATCGCCCTTCTCGGTGAACCGTAGAAGCTCCGTTTTAAGGGCGTTTCGCTTCGAGTACATTCTAAAATGTTTGCTTTCGATCGGCGACGACGGCGTCGCGCGGGCGGCGTTTGACTCCGATCCCGCCTCCCCTTCTTCCGACTCGTCGACGTCGGAACTGCTCACCGGGAGGGGGACTTTCTTTTTGATTCGATCTAACACATCGGCAAAGCCCACCGACTGCGTATTCCACGTTTCCTGAACACCGGCTTTGTAGCCGATGCCCGTCGCATCATCTTTACGAACCGATTTGATGTGCGTAACGATGCCATCGCGTTCTTTTCCAAGCCCCGTACCCTCCGTCCAGCCCGATTTTTTCAAAAGGTTTTTCCCAAAGTTCGTTTCAGAAGTCGACCACCGTGTACCATTGGGATCCGTGCTCATTTTCCTTTTTTTTTAGTTGCCTGCCTTAACTTTAAGTCAAACCCTTTATATCTAGGCTTCGTCACACTAGGGAGATCTGGATTTAATTTGGGTGGAAAAAGAGCCATAAAATAAAAGTTCACATGTGCAAATAGGTTTAAATTAAAGATAGCATTAAGGAATTAGGATCATCAGTTTTGATTAAACAACGGATAGCAATTTACATGGAGCTCCAAAGTAACTTTCACCGATAGAACTTGGTAAGGATTGAAGAGGACGAACCACCCCTGTTTGGATTTCGTGCGTCCATTTCAACGGTATTTATTTATTAATCGGTGTGAGATTGGGAATCTCACGTGGCGAGACATCCGCAAAGTAGCCGAGCGCACTCTTCTCCAGTTTTTCTTCCTCCGAAACGAACAAATGGTAGGGCTCCGGTGGAAGCACCTTCAGCTCCTTCAACACCTCAATAATATCGGGCGTTGCCTTCACCAGAAAGCCGGGAACGATATCCTGCAGCAGTTGCAGCAGGGTTCGCGCGCGGTGGTGATCGCCCGCCACCGCGCAGGTGCGGAAAAGCCCGGCGATAATCGGCATATCGATCTGATTATTCGAGTACAAAACACACAAATCAACCAAATTGAAAACGCGGCAGTCCCCATGACGACTAAGTGCCTCAATCAAGGGTCGAATAATCTCCTTCGTAACGATCAAACCTTGGTATTTATGCGCAATAACAATGTTGTAGGCGTCGTTCACGCACTGCATCTCATGAGAATCACAGAGGGCCTTAATGACGAGCTGATGGGAGTTTTGAATGAGCTCTTGCGTATCGCCTTTAAGCGAAACGGTGCTAGGCCTCACCAAAAGACCTTCTGCAGAGGTCTGTTCTTCAACTTCCCCTTCGCTTCCGCGTCCTTCGTCGTAGAAAAAAACTTCTCCGGATGCGCCGGCTCCCGAGGATGCGTTGGGGCGCGGCCGGAGTTCGAGGAGGTGGCGTAGTGAGGTTAATATGTCGTCGTAGATCGTCTTCTTTCCCTCTTCCAGAAGCTCAAAATAGTCAAAGAGCGCGACCTTCCCGGCAATGAGCTCAGCCTCAAGTGCCATGGAGGGCGTACAGCGTTCAACGATGCTCATCGAATCGCGCAAAAAAACCGTCGGCGACGTCGCCTCCACGCGCAGGCAGCGAAGCCAACACAACAGCACTTCCTGCCGCAGCTGTTGCTCTCCTTCCTCCGACAGATTCATCGGATTGTTCTGATTCGCGTTATGTTGCAACGAGACGTCAACAAAGTCAAAAACTTTCTCCAGCAGAGACGCCAACGGCGGCCACTTCAACCGTGTCGAGCCCTTTTCTTCAAGATTCCAGACAGATCGCTCGTAATACCGAGGAAGCCCGCGAACGACTACTCCCACCATTTCAAACTGCAAACTTCGCAACGGCAGCGCTACCTCACTCAGAAGATACCCCGGGAAGGAAAGGAGGGTGTTAAAATCAAACCCCACTTCACCAGAGGCGTCATCGGCCGTTTTTCCCCCTGCGAGGATCATCCGATTGAGGGCAAAAGCCACCCCGCAAAGCGCGAGTCGGCTTCCGAGCGCGGAGGTGGCGGGGTTCACTTCCTTTTGAGTTAATGATCGCACAAACGTCAGAAGTAGAGAAGCAGGGAGGGTTGTTTCTGTGCTTTCATCCTGTGCGCTTTGAAGATCCCTTTGCCCTTCTAGAAGGCGGTCGACCTCCCAAAGCAACGCCACATACTCCACGAAGGCCTTCACGACGAAGCGAATCTGAATCGTGTTGATATTCGCCCGAAGGACCCCCAAAAGGGCGTGATTCATGTTCTCAAAGAGGGCGTAGAGCTTCGCGGCTTCCATGTGAGGGGGATCCCTTTGGAGCGCCGTCGGTGGCAAGATCTCCTCGCGAACATAACGGTGAAACAACTCGAGAAAACAATGCAGAAGCTTTCCATCCGCGCAGGACACCCGCGCGCTGAGGGGGACGACCCCCCCTGTTAAAAGCAGCATCTCACGGGAGGGGAAAATAAAATACGGCGATGTGGCGGCACCCGAATCCATCGAAGGAGCTCCTTTTCCCGGTTCTCTTCCCATGCCCCCCCCCTCCACACGGGTGAAATCGTCTTCGAGAGAAGTCGAGGGATTGGGTGGAAACGACCGCGCTCCTGTCGAGGTGGCAGCCCGCCACGCGGCCTCCGATTCCCCTGGGAAGCACAGCACCGACGTGCACTCCACATCCGCGAAGGTGAGCAGCCACCTCGCGAGTTGCGGCCAAATCTCGGATTGGGGTGGATAATACCCCTTGGAAACTAAACAGTGAACGATGCTGTAAATGGTATCCGTTTCCTTCATCGCGAAGGCCTGTCGGGTGGCCTGGAGGACGTCCTCCCAAAGCACTTTTGATGAGGAAGACGAGGAGGATGCAATCGCGGATTGATCGCGAGTTGAAGGCAACGCCGCCACCGCGGAGGCCAGATGACGCGTCCATCGAGAAAGAGTCGCGTGAACGGGAGGGGAGGAGCGCAGAAGACGGCCCACGCGAAGCATTAGAAGCTTCAAGGTGACCACACTTCTTCCTTTTCTTTTTCTCTCTTTTCCTTTGGGTGAGAATACTGTTAGACTGGGTGAAATAAAAAGGAAAAGTAGGAATAAAGGGTTGAAGGCACCCAGAATCGAACGAAATGGGAATCCATCCATCTCAGACGAAGATATCATCACCGAAGAAGTCATTAGTTATGTTTCTTCCTGATTGGTTGACGATCCGAGAAGTCGTATGACAAGCCAAGATATCACAAGGGGTTCTTTCTTTCTTAAGAATGCGGTAGAAAAGTATCATCTGCAAAGTTTGAGATTGATCACGTTAAAGATTTGACATGATCAACTCCCCCGCTTTAACCCGTGCGATCTCAAATTTGTCGGATGCATTTCACGCAGAAACACTCAAAATGCCGCTGCGCACACAGCGCTTTGCGATGCTCATAATCCAACTTCGACGTCAGGTGCGCGTTGTAGTCAATCAGAAGCTGCTCGCCATCGCGAATATCGCGGAGCGAAATCAGTCGCCGCTGCAACGGTCCGTTGCCGGGGATCACCGCACAATTCGGATCGCAGCTGTGATTCAGAAGACTTAAGGTGGGGTACAACGCGATCCCACCCCGATCGGGGAGAAAAAATTCATTCGTCTGCAGCAACGCCAGGATGGAAAGAATTTCTTCCATGAAAAGATTGGGCTGACGGAAAAACTCGGAAAAGGCGATCGCGAGCGCCCCGATCTCGCTCAACGCGGTGGCGGGCTCGTACTCCACCACGCCACGTAACCCTCGCAACGCCGACAGCGCGAGCGGATGCAGCTGTTGCATCGTTGCCATCGCGCAAAGTTTCGCAACCGCGAGGCAGGAAAGCGCCGCGCGTGCATCGAGCCCTTCGATCAGATTCTTTTCCCCGTTTCCGTTTCTTCTTTCCATTTCGTTTTCACCGTAAAGCACCTCCGTCATTGCCTGCTGCCAACGCGCGAAGCCCGGGTTGACGGACGGGCAGCAGCAGGCGTGGTATTGCGCCCAGGCCGCCTCCTGGCATCCTTTCCCACAATACCGCTCCGCCCCTCCTTTTGGGAATTCTTCTGCAACGCTTTTGTGACCGTTTGGATGGTTTCTTTCATGTCTTTCGGATGCTTCGCGGCAGTGCGGGCAAACGATAGGGATTGGTGGGAGGGGGGAGAGGCAGTGCGCGCAGCGGCCTTCGTCGAGGGCGAACGCGAAGGCGGCGTCGTCGGCGAGGAGAGCCTCGCGAGAGGAAAGACGCCGCGCCGCGTAAAGTCCTCGCCCGAAAACACCCCCTCCTTTGGGCTCCATCAACTCCACCCGCGTTTCGTCCGTTTTTTCCAACCTTTCAATTTCGTTCACGCCGTTCATGTCTGTTGCTTTCCGCAGGTTGGCCTCCCCTTTCGCGGGCGATGAGGAGGAGGTGAGGCGACGACAGCAGCGGCGGACGTCAGCCGCCACCTCCGCGAAGGTCGCCGTCTCCCGCACCATCAGACGTTCACTACGCGAGACGGTTGTGGAGGGGTCTTTGGTTGGATTTTCTTCCATTTTTTCCTCCTCGAGATCGCGAAGGAGGGCGTGGATTTCTTCCACAGCAGGGGATCCCCCTGATGGGAGCAACGTGAGGACGTCGTCGACGTTTTTTCGCCTGCACAACCGTCGTCGCGCGTCGATGCATTTCCCGGCGAAGTCCCCCTGCCCCGCGCGTTCACCGGCGATCTCGCCGAGAAGAAGCCCTAAGGGATCGCTCGGATGACGATTTAACAACCGAATCGCGTAATCGCTGGCGAGGGTGAAGTTTTTACGAAACGTCCAATCCCAGGCGCGTTGGCGGAGGTAGCGGTCCATCTGTTTTCCCGCCTCCCACGCGAGCCGCGCTGTCTCCCTCCGCGGCATCCTCGAAAAAGATGTTGAGTGAACGAGCAAAAAGGTGTGGTGGGGTATGTGTGTGTCTGAAGAAGCCTCTTACTGCCTAAATGAGAGAAGCCCTTGAAGAAAAGAAGCGCCTTAATAGGAGAATCGCATGAAGAAATTCCTTCGAGATCGACCCCACCGTTATGAGGGAGTTTGACTAAAGCATCATAGCAGAAATTGATGTAAAATTAGATAGTATGTGCGTGCACGATTGTATATATCTATCAATATATATATATATATATATATATATATATATAGGTGCATGAAACGGATGTATTTGAAACGAATCACTCCTGTTTTCGTCTAGTCAGAACACTGCTAGATGTCGATGACATGTAGCAGTGATGCTTTCAAAAACAGCGACGGCTACTTTGCCCTTTCCGCAAATTCGAGACGTGATTCATTTCGAATTTCAAAGAGCACAGCCAACACCAAAGTTAACACATTCAAAGCGGCGCCCAAGATGAATAGCAAACTCAAAAACGCAGGAATCGTTGGTGATAGCCGCGTAGTGGTGCGCGGACCCACGTACTTCTTACCGTTATGGTAAAACCAAATCCCCGTATTTTGGGGATCCTCTGAAGCCCTTCTATGCTTTACAGTGCCACCTTCGTGTTGCCTTGTACCCCTATTCGTGTACTTCTCCTCCTCCTCAAGTATCGAGAGGTCGTTTGAGCTTCCCATGATGTGACGAACTTTTGCGTTTTCATTTCCTGTTGTTGGCTTAACCTTTTCTAAATTAGTGGAATTGGATATAATATTCTTCACGCGTTCGGCATCCCGTGTCTCACGCTCGCTGAGATATCGGGCCGCCAAATAAACTGAATAGATCCATAAGACGAACGCCCCAATCGAGAAGCCAAGAGCACCACAAACCGCGAAATTTGCTAGATTTGAGTGAAGGCAACGAAAACAAACAAAATAGGCGACACAGGGAAGAAAAGTTGCAAACCAAACGATGATCTGCATGACTGTGCGTTGGTTGCCAATAAATAACCAAGAATGGGTCCGTCACTCTGATATCATACTCGTTCCAAATCCCTATAGAAAGAAACCCTAGGGATGAATAAACGATGAGAGTCGAGTGCCAATAATATATAAAGAGTAATGAAAAAGTATCTCTAACATGAAATTAATAGAATCCACAAGATATTAGTAAAGAAAAGAAATTATGACACATAATTTCTTACATTATACCAATCTATCTAGCTATATATATATGGATATAGAGATCAACACACACACACAGACAGATATATATATATATATATATAAATACAAGCACATGAAAAGTTGAATTTAGTAGAAACAGCATCACTCTATACGTAAAGGATTAACTACAGCGGCACACGTTAGAAACAAAAAGCAGAAATCTTTCAGTGTACTCTCCCTTCGCTGGGCAGAAAGTACAAGGCGTCAGATAGCATTTTTATCCCCTTGGTTGTGTAAAGGTACTTCAATCCATCTAATTTAGCTACATAAAACTATTTTCGTCCCACACCTTTCGGGGTGTAGTCGAAATACACGTGGTTACTCCACCTCTATTTTTCTCTGCAGTTATATCGCTATCAAATACTGCTCTTCAATTACACGCGGTTATTCACGGGTAACGCCGGCTTTCGCCGCAGATAACACGCACGCGCGAAGAGGAAGATCCAATCCGCGTTCTGGACGACCTCCTCGCAGGTCGAAGAGATCCGCTCCGCGTCGCTGGGGGAGAGCAGATCGTACGCGACGACCATCGTCTTGATCGCGCTCAACACCCCCGCGCAATGGTGCGCGGGGAGCCGATCTAACGCCTCCAGCCGAAGCCCCCACCGCCCGCCATTCGCGAAGGACGCCACCGACGACGCCGCGGACGCCGTGGTGGGGGTTTTCAACACCGCCAACACCGCCCGTTTGACTTCCGCGAAGGCCTCGAGAAAAATCGCGGCCGCGGCGATCCCCCCTCGTCGGCGATCCTTCACCTGCCGGAAAAGCGCGAGGTCCGTGTAGAGGTTCAACACCCCTCCTTTGAGCTGCGCGAAGACGTGGTGGATGGCGTCCGCCGCGGGCATCTGCGCGAGCACCCCAGGCGAGAGCCGTTGCTGATCGATCAAACGGCGATAAAATCGCGCGTTCGCCGCGATCGGACCGCCGCCGCCGTCGCCGGAAAACGGCATCAGCGCGGTTTCGTTCCCGTGGTTGAAGTCCTCGCTTGGCGGGGAGCCAACGGAGGCGGGATCGCCCTCGGACTCCCCTAGCCGCCGGCAAATCCGCTCGCTCGTGGCTTTTAACACGTCCAACCGCTCGCGATCCCGCGCGAGGTTCATCTCCACCTGCGCTTGCCGATCAATCAGCTCGTTAATCCGGCCCTGCAGGCGGAGTTTTTCGAACAGATCCCCGCCATGCGTCCGCTCGAGCTCGACCAGACGGGCCTCGACCTCTTTTGTGGCCTCCACGCCCTGGCGAAGCCGACTCCTGTGGAGCCACTCCATCCAGCGGAGGTAAAACACCTCGCGGAGGTGGAGCCCGCGGCGCGATTCCAGCAGCACGGCGAGGGCGCGGAGAGGGTGCAGGCGACGCCGCCTAAGGCACCACCGCCGCCAGCCGTGGAAAACCACCCGCCCGACGCGCGCCCGCCCCGCGCGGAGGAAAACCTCCGCGTAGCGATCCAACGCGGTGCGTCGCGTCGCCATTTCCTGCTGCCGCTGCGTGAAGCCAATCCATTTGTGGAGGGCGCGGTGGAGGGTTTGCTGCTGCGCCTTCGCCGCGAGGCGTTCGAGCTGCGCCGAGGATAACGGCGGCGGCAGCGCGCCCGGCGAGGCGCCTTTTCGCGCCCCCCGGAGCTGCCCAAATGCGCGAAGTTTGCAGTAGTACACACTTAACAGGCGCTGCGCCGAGGCCTGCGCGATCAACTCCAGACATTCCAGTAAGAACCGGCGAAGTCGCCGCTGAACCGCGAGGATTTGCCAGCGTTGGAAAAAGCAAAGCACCTGGGTCCGATCGTTCGCCGCCATGAGCGCATTCACAAGATGCGCTCGCCGCTGGCGTCGAAGTTGGCGATCATGCCAATTGCCCCATTTCGAGAAGTTGCGGCGGAGCAGACGATATTTCGAGAGCGTGCAGAGATCCGACGCGGCGACCTGGCGATCCCGTTGCAAGAAATGCTTCAGCACCAGACGCCGCCAGGACTCAAAAAAGCGAAGACGCATCTTTTGATCGTTCAGCTGCGCCATGATCACGACATACTTCCGTTTACGATCAAACTCTTTTTGTTTCAACAGATTCATCCGCTCCCGCCACACCGCCGTGTCGTGGGCGTCCTCGCAGATCACCGAATTCAACGCCTGAATCGATTCCGAAAGGGATTCCTCGAGAATATTTCGAGTCGCATACCACGTTTTGTTCACCCCATTGCTCGATAACGCGAGCACTTGCTGCGTTTCGACCGAGCCGATCGCGAGCATCCCGATCACCTGCTGCTCCCCAACGCTGCCGTTGGGATCCTCCGCCTGGCTAGCACCATCTTGAAGCTCCGCTTGGGTCGTTGGAGCGTCGAGTTGCGAGTTCAGCATTCCATCCCGTACCACCTCCTCAATGCCGAAGTTATCATCCACGTTGCCGCTCCACCGCTCAATCAAACCGTCCGCGTAGGCTACCCAAATACTCCCCGTCAACGGATCCGCGAGGAGGCTGCGCGCGGATGGCGAGACCGGGATTCTCTTCACCAGACGGTTGGTTAGGCATCGCGTCTTTTCCAGAATGCACGCCGACTCGTGAAAGCTCCAAACGCAGACGGTGTTATCCTCCGAGGCGGAGAAGAGCAGCCCGCCAAGGATGACAAGCGCGTTGATGCGCTTTTTATGCCCATGGAGGGAGTTGAACCGCTGCCCGCTGACGACGTCAACCGCTCGGATGAGCCCGGAATCAAAGCCGCATACAACAATGACGGAAGGAGAAGCTTTATTGGCTTCCGAGGTCGGGGTCGTTTTGCTGCGATCCACCCCTCGCCCTACGGAGTTCGGTGGCGCCTCAATTGGCAATCCTTCTAAACAGGTGAGGCGCCCGCCTCCCCCGCCTCCTCCACTGCCTTTATCAGCCTCTTTTTCAACGGCCAGGCGCTGGGTGAGGGCCTCAAACCCGCGTTCTTCGCGATCCCAATGCACCAACAACCCCTCTTCTGAGGCGGAAACGACCGTGTGGTTCGCAAAATCCGTGAAGGCGACGACCG